AAACGATTTGAGCGATTAATATCTGAAAAAATAAAAAAAAAACAAAATTTAATTCGCAAAACAAAATATGTTAGCTAAACCTTAAAACAGTCGGATGCTTACTATAAAAAATTAATAAGAGTAAATCAGGTACGATTCATAAAGAAGTAATTCGATTAATTACAAAAATTTTTTTTACTAAATGAAAGACTAACGAAGTGTAGTAAATCAACTTAGAAGCAAAACAAGCGCATCTAAAAATTTTGACATATCTTTCTTTCTAAGCTGGATAACTGGAAAAAAAAAAAAAAAAAACAAAATTAATTAACGTCGAATGATTTTAATGGTATAAAATGGTATAAAATGGTATAAAATTACCAACCTGACGAATCAAAATATGTTTTGTGAATTTTGGCGTGACAATCCTCGGCTGCCTTTTCAAAAGCTTTTCCGAAAAAACTAAAAAAAAAAATGTTTTTTGAAAATTAATTACGATCGATAATTGATTTTACGTTCTGATCAGCCAAAAAAAATAATAATAATACTTTTTATTAGAATCAACATTAACCGGTGGAATTCCAGCAATGCTGCATAAAGAATCATCGGTTTCTTCCAGAGAATCATTTTCTCCAACGCATGGAGTGCATATAACCAATGGCGACGCAAGAGCTTTATTATAATTTCTTCTTGTTTTCGAATAAGCATTCAATAAAAAATCAGCTAGCAAAACTGTACCTATCGGATGATGGCAAATAATACTCTGGGCAAATTTCTACAACGATAATTATTTAAAAAAAAAAAAAAAAACTTAAAATTTAAAAAAAAAAATTTCAAATGACGTAAAACTTTAGAATTTTTATTAAATTAAACCTGCGTTATGAGAAAAAACAAAAATGGACCGAGTCTTTCGACTTGTTTGAATTCTAAAGCGTTTTGAATTTGTTTAAATACGGAAACGAATAATGTTTTTCCCAATTCTATTCCTTCGTCTAATTTATCTTTTCTTGTTTGTCTTAATGCGTCGAGACAATCCATAAAACAGTGTGCCTTTGTTTTTTCATTATTCTAATAGAAAAAAAATAAATTTAAAAAAAAAAAAAAAAAAATTTTCAATGAGATTTCCAACGGGAAAAAAAAAAAAAAAAAAACTTACGGTTGATTGTAGTAAAGCTAAAAGACTGTAAACGTAATCAGCTGCCGAATATTTTTTCCGATATCCATACTGTATGAAAAATGTCAAAAAAACTATTTCGTTTAATCCGTATTTTTCGGAAACTTCGACTAATGACGAATAAAATTCTTTTCTGTAAATTAAATCCATTGACCCGAATTTCTGATTGCACTGACTCAAAGGTATTCTAAAATTAATGAGTATATGATAATTTTTATCATTTTATATTATTAACTTAAATAAAAATTTATTATATAACTTGCCCGATTTCTGCTAACATTTCATGCAGTCTTTCTTCTCCTTGAAAAGTCCATAATTTAAGTTTGCAAGCTGAAAATTTTGAATGTTTTAAACTTTCTTTCACGGACCAGTGACGATATAAATATAACCTCAGGCTATTTTTATTAAGGAAACAAATTTTTTTAAAATAAACTTTTAATAAATTGGGTTTTCGAAATAACTAATGTATATCAAACATAATTGAAAATTTTATAAGTAGTGAAAGGCTTTTTCTTTTGGGCTTGTTTAGAATCTATAGAGAAAAAAAAAGGATACTCTTTTTCCAGTTCAATATGAATTGGCAAATTTTCACCTTCATTTTTTTTGACAATATCATGAGTCAGT